ACTATACTCATGTCCTGAATGAACTCATATACTCACATGGCTTGAAATACAATTTGCTGATTTCCTCTAAACTTATTTCCTCAGCATAAATCAATGTTACGAGTCCTCTGTCTATTCATCTTGAAGTGTACTCAGAATATCTGCTTGAATGTCTCATATGCACCTAAAACTCAAAATTATATTTGCCCTCGAAGTTGTCATTTCTCAGTGAATGGCATCACCCTGTACTCAGTACTCATGCCAGAAACCTTAGAATCACTTTGACTTTGTTCCTTTTACAAAATCTCACCAACCCACAAGTCCTACCAATTCCTTTTCAATGCTGTCAACATCCCTACTTTTTATCACTTTTGCTATATCATCACTTCTTGTTTGAATTCTTGTATCTATTTAACTAATGCTTGAACTTACTCTTATTCTTACCAGCCTATTCTCTCTATAATGGTCAGCTCGCTCTTTTTAAAATGGCAAGTTAAAGCTCCCCTATTGAAATGTTCTCATGGTTTACCATTACTGTTAGAATGAAGCCCAAAATACTTAATTTGACCTTTAAGAATCTCCTTTACATGGACCCTTGCTCCCTCTCTGGTATCTTATGCCATTCTCCTGATTCTATTTTCATCAGCATACAGCCAAAAAAAAAGAACCCAAGGACCATTTCTATGAGTAAGGTATTACCTGAGGATCAGGAAGCTGCTACCACTCCTGGGCTGGAGCTCATCAGCCTTTAATTCTCTTTAATAAGCTGGAGACCCACTATCTGTTTCTGTTGATGTTGTAGCTACGTAGGCACTTGCCTTTCTATAGATGCTGCTAAAAACCTTTGGGGATTGCTGGAGTCCAGAGTCTTCCACCACTTCTTTTGCTGCTACCAGAGGGTCCCCAAGAAGCAAAAAAAAAAAAAAAAAAGGGAGGGGGACTTCTTCCTTTCTCCTATTCTAACGTCCTGCCAGTGGCAAAGTTGACAGGAAATGTGCTGACAAAGGAGTCTGCAAAATGTAGTATGCTAGCTTCCAGCCCCTGTGATTCAGAGAGCACAGAAGGTCAGAAATGAATCAAGAGCTACACACAAATAACTGGCATGTGCTCCCATTCCAGTTCTTCAGATTAACCAACCTTTGGGCTTTACACTGAAACCTTTTAAGACACACACACAAACATGCACACTGTTTCCATAGGGTTAATACTAATTTATTTTCTGTGTCTTAGCTTAAACAACAGTTCACCAATGAAGCTTTTTTTTGACCCCACGATATTAACTTGGGTCCCCTAATATGTACTCTCTGGCACCCTGTGCCTTTCTTTACAACAGTAATAAAATAGTGACTAAAAAAGTGCATAATTAATTCATTTAACACCTGCTTCCCCTGACAAACTGAAGAGTCTTTGAAGAAAAGGATCTCTGTGTCTTCTTTGTTGCTACATCTTCACTGCATGGAGCGTGAATGATCTGGAATAAACATTTGTTGAATAAATGAAATGTGTCTTCAATCACAGCATTTGAAAGGGTAGTTCCTTCATTCATTGTCAATAATCTCTCCAGGGACAAAATATTTAATAGTTCTGAAAGGGTATTTTGTCATTAGGCAAAATGGTCAGTTTCTCTGGGATTTCTCTCATGCTGTTAAAAATACAGAGATTGGCAGAAATGACATATTAGTTTCTCTGTGAGTTGTATTAGAAGCATGAATGCTTAGATCTTTTTCAATAATGTAGTATATTTCACAGTGATTTAAGTAACCATGGAAATAGTTATGGCAATAGGAAAAGACAAGTTCAAGGAATTAAATAGATGGAATTCTTACGAATATATAAAGGGCAGAGTAAAAAGGACAAAGAAAATTAGAAAGCGAAGACTGCCTCCAGTTCTGAGATTCTAGACCTATAGGTATAGAATCACATACGAAAATAACAAAGCCTGCTTACTTGTTTACCCAACTGTTCACATATATTTTATACCAAAGTAACATTTCCAGACAGTGAAGGGCAACAGCTAAGCATTAAAATATTTGATCATGAGAGGTATAGAACTTACGCCCTTGCCCAGCTGGCTTGTAGCTCCCTAATTTAGTTCCATTCATTACGTCAACTTCCTTGTTTGGCTTTTCATTCTCATAACAGAAAGACTGTAGGGTACAAAAGGGCAGCAGTCTGTTATCTTTAAAGCTGGGTTCCTGATTCTGAAATTGGATTTTAAGAATTCTAACATGCAAGTGTTCGATCTGTTTCTAAGAGGTGAGTTGTGTCTGTGCTCTTACATCCTCAGATGCTTAGAATATAACAATCCACAGGTTCTGATTTGTGGAGGACGGTGGAGTTGAGGTTACTGTCAGCCAATTTTTAAATTGCCGCTGAGGGAAAGGAAAGGGTGACAAGTAAGTTAAATTAGAAGGGGATTAATGCAGTTCATCTAGGAGAACTTCAATTTTTTCAGGGAAATAAGCAGTGTGATCCAATGAGTGTGCATAGGCTAAGGAAAGGGATAGAGGCCTGAGGAAAATGGAAAAAATTTGAAGCAGTCACTGTAAGGGTTTCAATAAGGATGACTGTAAGGGTCATTAAGTAGTTTTAAGAACCTGAGGGAAAGTTTGACACCATGAAATTTCAGGAATTATAACTGGTGCCCTGATGAGATTTTATCAAGGGACTCTTGATCTCTAGCAAGAATGCTGAATGTTGTTAGGATTAACAAAGCAAGTAAGGGCTGATGGGTGCATCATTGCAAAGTTTACTGTGGAGTTCACTGTGGATAGGAAGGCAGAAAAGCCAGAATGGGAATAATGGATTAAGATAAGTTGCTAGAAGATGAAAACTGGAAGACAAAGAAGAAATTCAAGTGATGGTAAACTGGTAGGAAAACAGGAAGCTAGGTTAGAAAAAGCTCTTCAGTAAGAGATTCCCACTGAAACCAAAGATCCTCAGGAAGCTGAAGACTGTGCACATTGTTCAGGACTTAAAGTAGAAGCAGAATAAAAAAGGGTGCTCAGGCAGGTTGTTGAACGAAGGCTATAAAGCGATGATCTAGAAGTAGGTATGCCCAGCCTATTGCAGGCAGCATGTGTTAAAGAAGTGGAAAAAATCAAAAGCTTTCTGTAGAAGACAATGATGCAAAGAATCTGAAAATTTGAAAAGAAAATTTATTTTTCATTTAGTTTGAGAAGGTAAGTGTGTTAAAGGCAAAGATATGGGGATGTTTGTTCATGGTGGAACAGGGGTACTAAGTTGCATGAGGTAAACAAATTGGTCAACTTTATTTCTAACCACCTTATCTCGATAAGGTGGTCAGAAGTAACACTCTTTATGTTAAAGTCTTCCAGTGCTGGTCAAAGGAATTAAGATAAGGGGGTTGGGAGATATAATGTAAAAGAAAACTCCTGTTTCTACTCATGTCAACTCTTGACACCAAATACGGTGGTAAAGGGGTGGCCCTCACACTAAATAATTCTCCAGTTCTCTAAACCACCTAACTGGGTGTCCTGCAATTTAATTATGATACTAACTATGTGGAGTTAGCACAGACCCCACAGGTTAGGGTCCCAGTCCCACAAGAGTGCCCCCACCTCAGATGCCAATCACAAGTCCCAAGTTGTCACCTGTACTTCTGACCAACTGGTTACAAATTGGGGGTTTCTATGACCCCCAACTCATTTGACAGTTTGCGAGAGGGTTCTCAGAACTCAGTGAAAACACATTTATTGATTTCTTATGACACAACTCAGGAACAGCCCAAGGGAAGTGCTGTATAGGGCAATACATGCGGAAGAGGAACAGTTCCCTTGCCCTTTCTGAGTGCAGTGCCCTCCCAGCATCTCCATGTCTTCACCAACCTGGAGCCTCCCTGAACCACTTTGGTTAAAGTTTTTGATGGGGGCTTTATTAAGTAGGCATGATTGATTAACTAATTGGGCAATTGATAATTATGTCAATCTTCAGCCCCTCTCCCCATACTGGAGGTGGGGGGTTTGAGGGTGGGACTGAAAATTCCAACCCTCTAGTCATGTGGTTGGTTTCTCCAGCAATCAGCCCCCATTCTCCAAGAGGCACCTTCATAGTGTAAATGCAGATATGGTTGAAAGGGGCCTATTATAAATAACAGAAGATACTCCTCTCACCCCATCACTTAGGAAATTGAGGGTTGCAGGAGCTCTGTGCCAGGAATCTGAGAGAGGAAGATCAAATATGTATTTCTCATATCACAATTAGTTTTCTACTGTCACTGTAATAAATGACCACAGACTCAATGGTTTACAGCAACACATATTTATTATCTTACAGTTCTGTAGGTTATAAGCCTAACACTGGTCTCACTTGGCTAAAATCAAGGTGTGGGCAGGGTTGCATTCCTTTCTGGAGGCTAGAAGTCTTTTCCATCTTCCAAACACTGTCACATTCCTTGGTTTACCGTCCTTGCCCTCTGTCTTCCAAGCCAATAACATGGCATCTCTCTGACCATTTTCTGTAGTCACCTCTCCTTCCAATTCTTCTCTTTTAAGGACTCTTGTGATTACATTGGGCCTACCTGAATAATCCAAGGTATTCTCCCTATTTTTAAAGTCAGATGATTAGCAACCTTAACCATTTGCAAATTTGATCCTCCTTTGTCATGTAACCCGACGTATCCACAGGTTTGGGGGATAAGAATGTGGACATCTTTGAGAGACTATTATTCTGTCTGCCACAGAAGGTACACTGCAGAAGTTTGTAAACAATACAAAAGGACACTAAATTAGCACAGTCTGGTTAATGGAAGGTAGAGTTTATCAGAATTGGTTTCAAGATTTCAATTGGATTTTGGGAACAAGAGACATCAAAATTCTACTCCCAGTGAGACAGGGACCATGGATGTAGTCAGAGTAGGGTGAGGGCCTCTGGAGGGGGCAGGGCGGGATATTTGCAGTCAGAGCAATGTAACTACATGCAAGGAAAACCCCTGCTAAAACTCTATGTTAAACATTGAGCTCTCGAATCATTCTTCAGTGAAATCGGTTAATGTTCCCCAGATAAAGAAGAGTAGCACACGTTTTATTACGCTAAACATTTGTAACCATGTGGAAGATTTACTTTAGCATACTAAAAGGCCCAGGCCTCTGTGCTGTCTTTCCTCCTTCAGATTTGACTAGGTGATTCTGCAAGCTGAGCAACTAACTTAGCATGCAGACCCAGCTGTAGACAGCATGGTAAAAGGCAGGAAGAATTCCATCTTGAAGATAAGATTGCATTTTAACACCCAGGAAGTTCAAGAGGCAGGATTCTTTAGCAAGTAGACAATACCTCGGCCCACCTTGGGAGCTGAGCAAGCAGCCTTTGATATGCTCCCGGACCCAGGTGCCGGTGTCCTGGAGAGAAATCAAGGCAGGAAATTCCTTATGTTAAGTTAATTTTTAATATTCAGGGCCCACTTAAGAAGTCCACACCCCTAAACTCTTTTTCACATTCTCGAAAAATCCTCAACTGCCTATAAAACCCCTAGACAACGCACCAACACGGACTCTCTTGTCCCCTCCTGGTGTGAGCCAGGAGCTCTGTCCTTTCACTTTATCTCTAAATAAAGGCCTGTACCTTGCTCTCCTACCTTGACTGTTTGTGAAGCTCATTCTTTGGCTCCGCAAACAAGAACCCCGGCATCACCAGGTTGTTGATGATTGATAAACACTAATACTGCCACCGCCTCCATTGGTACTATTACTACTACCACCACTACTACCACTATCACCACCACTACTATGACTACTATTACTACCACCACCAGTGCTACTATTACTACTACTAGTGGTGATAATAATAGCAAGAACAAAAACCAATACCTTTTGGGCTTTATGTATCAGGATTGTTCTAAAGTCATACATGAACCAGTTTTTATCCTTTAAACACTGTGAAGAAGGAATACTCACTTTCCCTATTTTCACATGAGGAAACTAAGAGAATGAGTAATTTGCCCAAGGTCACAAAGTAGAGGATTTGAACGGAAACCCAGGCAGTGAAACCCCAGGGCTGTCACGCTGCATCATTCAGTCTCCGCATGTGTGACCCTTGGGTTGAGAGAGTAGAGTAGCTGATGAGTCATGTGTTTGGGGTTAGATACCAAGGGGTCCAAGTTAGAAATAAAGCTTTAGGTGAATAGGGCAGGATCTGTTGAAATATCTGCAGTGGAAATGTAGCTCATTGTAGTGAACCTACACAAACACCAGCTTTCTTCAGTTCAATTCAATCTAAATATAACAGCAAAATCATTCACAAAACTGTATTTTCTTTTCCTTTTCTTTCATTAAACAACTATTTATTGGGGAGTGATAATGTAAAAGAAACTACTGGAATTATATCAGTTTTAGACATACCCATAAGAATTAAAGGAATTAAAGAAATAATATAACATAAGGTAGAGTAAATCCTAAAATTTGCCCAATGATATGGTGGCCACATCATATTCAAACCACTGTAGGAATAAGCTATTTTGTTTTAAATACTAAAATGACCTTGAATTTCCTCCCTTCCATTCACTTTATCACTGCTCAAGTGTAGACCTTCATTCTCTCTGCTCTAACAAGTTTCTCCAAAGTCCCCGGACATTCCATCCATCCTCACCTTCACACTGCTCTCTGACTTTAGCAAACCTAATCTTGTCATTTCTCAACTCAAAATTCTTCACTTGCTTCCATGATCTACCAGCTAACATCTGAACTTCTTGTTTAAAAAATCCCCTGCCTACCCATCTAACTTCATTTTCTCCTTTCCTCCTAAATCCCCTTTCATGTTGCCCTCTGGCAGCACAGAAATACTTGTGGTTCCCAAAACACACCATACTGTCTTGCCTCTGTAACCTTCCATCTGTCACTCTCCTTTTCCTTCTGCTGCTTTTACCCCATACATATGGAAAATTCCTAGCCATTCTTGAATACTGTTCAAATGCTGTTATACCTTCCCAGTCTCTTACAGGCAGACCTGGGACTCCTCCTGTGCTCTCTCCTATACTGTATATCCTCCACTGTTTGCAAGGAGATTGCTATTGGTGTTTGGGATCAGGACTTGGATTTTTCCATTCCCAGTACCCGTCATGGAATCCAACACACTGTCTCTCAATCACCTTTGCTAAGTTAGCCTGCTCTTTTATTTCACCTACCATAATGCTATGGCATAGCTCTTCTTTTTGCCTGAGTACAAGTTCCTCAAACTGCACTCTTTGGAACCCTGGGGCTCCTACAAAAGAGTGTATATTATATAGAGTTAGGCTTTGGATAGCTGTGTGAAATGTGTGCTTGTTTCCATTGTAAGTTTAGGAGAGAAGTCCAATTCTTCTTTCCCCAATGATCCTCTTACCTTTTAGTTCTATGGTCCGCAGGAGCAATGCAAGTCTGCAGAAGAAATAAATCACCTAAACCGCCTAAAGTTAGACATTTCCATCTGTTCTTATCATAATCTAGATGAGGGAGAAGAAACACAGCTCGTATGTACATACGGCTAAAACACCAACATAATTATCATCAAATTTACTTATTTTAAACCTACCTTTACTTAACCTGGATTATTGCCAATGCCGTAGAACAAATTTTGCTCATTTGCCTTATTGTTTTTATTTACATTAATTGACAGTTTGATATTGGCTCTGTTATTTTTAACAGTTTGACTTAGAGAAAAATAGCTGTTACAATGGAAAGTTTTGGGAAACAGTCGCTGAAAATCAAGCATCTAACAGGGAAACAGATACAGTACCAGAGGGAACTCAATAGGAGGGTACTATTATACAGGGATTGGAGGGGGTCTCCACACCAAAATGGGAACACTGAGGTGATCCACATATGTGAATTGCAAGGAGCCATTTCAACTTTGCAGCTGAAGGAACAAAGGGAAAAGCTGGGTGATAATTCAGAAGATCAGAGGAGCAAGACTGCTGAGCTAGGGCTCAGACCTCTGACAAGTGGGCACAGCTTGGCTGGTGCTGACCTCTGAGGGGTCATGATGAGTTTGGTTCTTAGAGTAAAAGTAGAGGGAGGCTGGAACGAAGTATTGATGACAGAGTAAAGGGTATTAATGTGAGGTGATGCTGATAGGAGAAGGAGGCAAACAGAAAGGAACAAGTCTCTTCTCCCCTACTCTGGCTTTCCATCATTCCTCCAGCAACTTCTACTGATAAAACTGCCTAGGAAGTCATCTGGCATAGTTTGCAGAGTCTCAACCCCAGGATTATAAACTCAGTGTGTGGAAGTATTGAGTATGGAGTGGAGAGATGCTTACTTCATAAGCAGCACTAAGATAATTAGATCGAGAGTCTTAAGCAATGGTCTGTTAGAATAACTGTCTTCCAGCTTAAAAAATTCAGTATGGTCATATACTCAAGCCTTAAAAAATTAGCATTCTTTTTTGAATTTGTCTGCCATTAGACATACACTTGAGTATGCTATGTCACTATAGTTACCATTTAATCATTCAATCTGGGACTATATAGCATATATTGTTCTAAGTGGTTGGCTTCCAACAGGGAAAAAAACAGGTTCCTGCTCACCCTTGTGGAACTTTCATTGTACTGAAGGGAAAACAGGAAATAAATAAAGACATAATATGTCAGATACTGAGTGCAATGGGGAAAATAAAGCAAGTTAAAAGGGGATAAGGATTGGGAATGTGAGAAGCTCTTTTATATGCGGTGAAGACTTCATGATAGAATGAGATTTGAACAAAGACTTCAATGATAGAATGAGAGTTGAGCAAAGGAAAGACCTAAAGGAAAAATGAAGGAGAAACCAGTATGGAGAAGATCTTTCTAACAGACTGTAGTTGCCTATGGTAAATGTGAGATGAAAATTTTGAAAGTGGAGGATTTTTGTGGTTTTGCAGTTTGTTTGTTTTTAACTATTTGCATACTTTGACTGTGGCAGACTGTGAATCTAACCAATTAACATCAACTTGTTTTCAATTACAGTACCAAGTTCAAACATTCCACAAAGCATTACTCATCACTTCCACTGAAGGAAAAGCTATACTTCTTCACACAGCAGGTTATAAAAATTTGCTGATGGTAAGAGGAACTAGCTGAAGTATATACTGGCCTACCTCTACTATAAAATACTTCCTTTGTTTCAGTCAGCTATGAAATTCTAATAACAGTTTCAAACCTTTAATTTGGATTACTTGAGTAAATGTAAAATGTTCAGCATTATACATCATTACTTCTTCATTAAAAGGTCAATGTTGTGGACAACAACGTACTCTTAACCTACAACAGTGAAATCATTGTTAGCATTAAAATGGTGTTACTTTTGTTCAGATAATCTTTTTTCTTGGAAGATACATGTATACTCTGGGTTCAAAGGTGCCTGAAATATTAATAAATTTGCTATATTTAAATATTCCTTCAACTAGTTTATCACCCAAACAATAAAAGCAAACTTACCTGTAAAGTTAGAAAGCTAAAAATGGCACAAAACCCAGTAATGATCTCATGTCAAAGATTTTAAAAAATCAACAATAATTGTAGCATTGAAGAAAAATGAACTATATCATGTAATATAAAATCTTTTTTTTGTAGTCAGTAATAGTTTCCAACAGAAAAGCTTGGTGGGGGTGGGGTGGGGGTATGTCTTCACTTCAGAATGTAAGACTGGACACATAGAAAGTAGAAGTTTGAGTTACCTCGGTAAATTTGTTAACTTTAAAAGGATTCTTAAGAGGTCAGTAGTGCCACTGAAAGGTAAGAACTTGTTTCTGGCAGGAAAACCACCACACAGGGCTTATAGCAGTTGTTTTCAACCTCTGTGCCTGGGTTCCGCTAGTTGGCAAATAGGGATAATAGCAATTATTACCTTCCTTAGGAAGTATGCTTTGACATCCCTGGCTGAAGATGCTATATCAACACAAATTATTAATATTAGGACATAATGCATGTTTGCACATAAAACACCAGCATGGTGCTCTTTTAATGCTTATATAAAGTCTATAAATACCGCTCTTCCATGCTCTCTCTCTACTTTAGGTCAGAGGAGAATAAAATTATAGTATGCCAACAATCCAATTTCTCAAAACATGGAGGAAATGTGTTTTTTAAAGCTCCCTATCATTCTTCTGAGACGCGCTAAATCTGTTAATCCCTCATGGTCTCTGTAGCAATTGCACGATGGCCCCCATATTAAACCTTTGGCACCTTTTCAAATGTTGGCTAAATTACTTTTTGGGGAGACTCGAACCATCAGGGAAAGGCTGGGGGATGAAATTGGCTAATGATATTAAAATTTTGGTTGTTTTAACATTTAACTGAGTACCAACAAAGTGCTAAAATGCTACCTAAAAGGATAATTAGCTAGTTGCAGTGGGCTCTGGCTAAATTTAGCAGCGAAATTAGGTTTAGGGAATGGGAAAATAGGAAAAGAAATTTTCTCAAGGGAAACAGTGGTGTCAGCACAGCTGAGGAATGTCACAATAGTTACATTTCGTCAGTTATGATCATCATTAGGGGATCTCCTGGAGCGATGCAGGACAAGGTTTATTTCTAAGTGCGTCCTGAGGAGAGATGATGGAAAGGAATGGCTGCAGGAAACGGGGTGGCAGAGGCAGGGAGGAAGGGAGTGGATGAAAAGAGGCACTTAACCGAACGCTGGGAAACAGGATAGGAGGCGGAAGTTAAGAGAAAAAAAAGAGGGGGCAGGGGTAGAATGGTGTGTAGGCTTGTAGGTGAGTAAAACATTGTAAGCCAGTGGGTGGAGGGTGGAGAGACCCTAGTGATTAAAGGGGCGTGATCTTGGCGGCAGGCAAGCATTAGTTTGGCTGTGACAGGAGACTAATCCTTGCTCGACTTTTTTCTTATTGGAGAACATTTGTGGCTATTTGGTGGAGATGGCACCACCCACATACATCTTACGGTGTCAGGACTGAGGACGTGTGTCCTCTACCTCCGGTGCCCCTCGGACAGTCCAAACCGTCCACCACCGCCGCCGAACCGCCGGTGGCTGTGGCTCGGAGGTCAGGCAACTAGGGCTGTGCGTGGCGGGCGGACGAAGAGGGCAGGGCGCGCAGCCACCTCGGGTGAGAGGGTCGCAGAGGATCCGATAGACGCTTCTCTTACAGGCAAATGTTTAATAGTCCCCAAGGTCGCTTTCCCGCGATCAGTTTGAAGGGAAACAGGCAATGAAAATATTACACGTGCGAACATGCAAATGAAAGAAAACCAAAGAAAAACACCACCTAGGCGCTCCGAAAGGGGTAATCCGTGGCCTCCTTGCAGTCGCCCAAAGAGGACAGCTGACAGCTGGGCAAGCAAGAGCGAGAGAGCAAACCCTCGGGGTTCCCTCTCCTCGCCCGGCTCCGCCGACCCTTCCACCAAGCCGCCTTCCCAGATAAACGATTAAGAAAATCGCCAGTGCAAACGTGCTGCGGAGGGCTAGGGGGAAGTGGGCTGGGAAGCAGGGAGGGAATTCGAAGAAAACAGCTGTCCCAGGAAGCAAGGAGAAAGTCTCTCCTTTCAGCCCGAGTCCCCGGCGAGGAGGGAGTCCTGCAGGCTGCGTCCAGCTTCCCAGACAGGAACCTTTAGCATGGGTAACGGAAGGGGAGCCCCGTCCCACTCCCCCTCCTCGTCCCGGGTCCCCGCCAGAGGGACAGCGCCGCCCGGGTGAACCCAGTAGCGCGTTAGCTCCGCCGCCCTCCGCCTCCGTCTGCGCCGGGGCCGCGGTGGACCCGCGAGGGGCGGGGTGGGCGAGACCATTGGAAAGGCCGGGAAGAGGGGGAACGAGGGGCGGGGCCTACTAACCTCTTCCAGATTTTCCTGTGCTCTTTAAAGCACGGCTTTGGGAGAAACCTCCTTATCAAAGTGGAGAGAGAAGAGCTTTTTTTGAAAGGGGAGGAGCGTGTGTAGGAGGGGGGTCGGGGTGGGAGGAGACGCTGCTCGCACTCCGGATCAGACGGGAGCGGAGTTGGGCGGGGCGGGCAGGCGGCTCCCCGCGCCGACTCTGAGGGTCGGTTTGCTCCCCCTCACGCGCGGCGGGGTGGTGCGCTCCGAGTTCCCAGGAGTTCGAGGCGGGCGGGTGCCGGGGGGAGGGGACTGGCGGCGGCGACGGCGGGCGGCTCCCGCCTCAACCTCGGCAGTGGCGTCAGCGACGGCGGAGTCGAGGTAGCCGCTAGCTCTCGGCTAAGTGTCAGCCGGCGGCGACGCCTCAGGAGCTGGGAGTTGGGGACGCGCGCGCCGGACCTTCCGCCGCCGCCCAGAGCCTGAGGCGCCGGGGCCGGGGAGCCGGGGGCCGGGCGAGCGAGAGCGCCGGGGGGAGGGCGGGGGATGGCGCGGACCCCGGGGCCGGCCCCGCTGTGTCCCGAAGGCGGCAAGGCACAACTTTCCTCCGCCTCTCCCCCCGGAGCCGGGCCCCTGCCGCCTCCCCCGACGCCGCCGCCGCTGCTGCTGCTCTTCCCGCTGCTGCTCTTCTCCCGGCTCTGTGGTAGGTGAACCCCGGCGGCCGGCGCGGGCTGAGGGAGGCGCGACGCGGGGTCCCGGCGCCGCGGCCGGGGCGGCGCGGGCCGCTCTCGCGACGGCCGGGCGGTTGGCTGCGCGAGCGGGGGGCCGCGGACTTTGGCTGGAAACTTTTGGCCGCGCCCTGGGCAGGGCCGGGGCCGGCGAGTGCTGCCCTGGCCACCCGCTCCCCTCCCCCGCGGGGGCGCCGCGGCCGGGCGCAGGGCCGGCCCCGGCGTGCTGCTTTCTGCGCGGTGGCCGCGTGCTTCGCGCTCGGGGCTCCTCCGGGCTTGCTTCAGGACCGTTACTCCCTCGTTCGCGGAGGAAGCCGAGAGCGCGGACTTCTAAGGTGCGGCGATGCACGTTTGTCGCCGCCTTTTTTTCTCCGTGAAACTTGAGCCGAGAGCGCGACACCTTTAGGGACCGGAGCCGGGCGGAACGAAGCCTTCGGGTCCTATGCCTCATTGCTTTCCACTGTGGAAAAGGCACCATTGTCAGCCCACCCTGCAGCATCCCCCTCAGGCAGTTTTCTCCGGTCCTGCGCCCCATTCTGCCCTGGCTGCTTCTGCATGGCTTTGCATTGAGCCGGTGGCTGCTTTCCAGTTTGTGGGAAATCTCTCAGACTGTGTTTATTTTAGCTAACCCAATTTGTCCTCAGGCCTTCGATTTATGGATTAAATACCTGAGGGGATCGACTGTGCCCCGGCTCTTCTAATAAAAAAATTTCCCACACCTTTTCCCGGTAGTTTTTTTCCCTCATGTTATGTTACAGTTTTTTCTGTAACATTTGGGAGTTAGTCTCTTTTTAAGATACATTCCTAGGTATCGGAGACTAGAAACCTACTTGTTCAGGATCATGTAAAAAATCTGCCTTACCTGCAAGAAAGGTGGACGTTAAGTGATCACTAGTGGAAGGCAGTGATTTAGAAAAAATACGGCCACCAGTCTTTGGGGATTAGCTTGTCTTTTGGTAATACTGAAACATTGCAGGATGTTTTTCATTCGAAGACTATCACTAGGTGAGTAAGGTGGAGAAACAAAACTAACGCTTACTTAAAGATAGCTTATCTAAGACGTTTTTACTGGTACATAGGCTGTTGTTGGATCTCAGTGTTTGATGAAATCGTAAAAGACACCAAAAGTTTTACCCATATATATTAAAAGGAGAGATGTGTGCGAATTTCTTGGATAGTGTGATTTAGAAGAAAAAGAATCCAGTTCCGGGCAGGTGTGTCAGGGTAGTTTCTATTGTGGGAGGCAAAGTTTTCAAGAAATTGAGTGCGCCTTATAGGCTGAGAATTTCCATTGTCAATTTACCACCACGTTTCAAGCACTGTAAAGAAAGTTTCTGATTTACAGAGCATAGTATGAAAAGTGACATGTTATCTGATCTACATTTTCTGTAGCCCCACTCCCCAGACGTTTAGTTCCACAATTCTTAATGTAGTTACCTTTTTAAATTGATGCAAGATTATATATTAAATTTGTGTACTGTTCTTTTCCATTAAGGAGAGTTGTGGATTACAGTTGGGTGGGAGGAAAGTTGGAGGAGGTGTTAACAGTTTACTGTCCTCCTCAGATTGTGTTAACGGCTGAGAATATTATTTGTGTCACTAATAAAGTCTTGCCTACCTAAGCAAAGTCCTATGGAAGACTGAAGGTAATATGTACAACTGATACAAAGAAATATAATTTAGGTAATAATCTCATAGCAGTTGTGAAAATGAAGTGTTGATTACTTTTTGAAGGAACACTGGTTTTTTACATGGAAGAAGAAAATATGCTTTTAAAAAATGTTTTTAATAATTTGCTATTGAAAGAACTTGGTATTTTATTTTAGAGTCCTAAAAAGGCAAGCAGTATAGTATAGGCAGATGGACTGATTTAGTGGAGGTGTAAATTGAAGTTTTTAGAGTCCTCTCTGCTTGTAGTTGTAGACACAGACACTAGCTTTGTGTTACTGCATACTGCTCATTTAAAGAGCTTTTTTGGTTTATAGTGTTATAACACCCTAGTTTGTGAATCCTTATGACAAGTTTTTTCCATCAACGTCTATTTTAAAATTCAGTCTTTGAGTAGGGCACAGTTCTTGTGACTTAAGGATGCTTAATATATATGGAAACAATTTTCTTCCTATAACATGTTTGTTAATCTAACATGCATAGTACTACTTACCAGGTTTGGCATTTACTAATATTTTACTCTGTAGACAGTTTTAGAGATGAAAAAAATTTTAGACTTTAGAGAGATGACTATCTGATGATTTGTTAATCAGAATGCTTTACTTGTTCTATCACAGATCTTTTTTTCTTTTTGCTTCTCTTTTTGATACGCTGCCTGCATTTAGCATGACCTTAACTCTGCTCAACTTCTGCAATATCATCTATTAGCAGAAGATAATTTCATATCGTATTAATTTGACTGCCAAATAAACCCTCACAATTGATAGACTCGATATTCTGAAGGCTACAGAATCAGATTTGCTGTTTGAGTGAGGGTGTACATCATTTTTTTTGAGAAACTCAACTTTTGAAATGAGAACTTTACAGGATAACAAACTCAGTTGCTTTTTTTCTTTTTAAGTCTAAGAAATCCCTAGGTATAAAAGTTCAAGGGACTAAGTTTACAACAACATGTGACTTGATAAACCTCATTTATTTAATTCTGGGATTCGTTATTTCTTGATAATGGCAATAACCAATTTGTAGATGATTTATCTCACTTTAATTTCCAACATTTTTTGTGAGAGAGAGAGAGAGAATATTAGGAGGAATGTGGTATTAAAAAAGAGAAGGTAGACTATTTGGCCTTTATAAATTCCTGTTTGTATTTAGGATTCTATGACTTTCCACTTTCAGCAAGCTTTTATCTTAAGGTGGATGTCTAGAAGATGAGAAAAAAGAAAAAGAAGATCTAATGTGATATTAGGATCTTACAATATTGAGATGGATATAAAGGATATAGGTGATTATAGGACAGTTCAGTGTATGATAGAGGACTGCATGAGGTATTTGTGAGTTGCTAGGAAGAGGGATACCTAACCCATTAGATAAAGAATATTATGCTAGATGTAAGCAATGTATCAAAAATAGAAGCAAAAAGAAAAAAAGATCTGTGATAGAACAAGTAACCCATTAGATAAATTCATATTACATAATATGAACTGAGAGAGAAAAAATTTTAAATCAGTTGAGTCAGATCTTACTGTGATTAGACTTGTGGTGTGTGGTACAAGTTTGTTCTCTGTACAGTTTACCGTTGGGATACTGTTCACTGAGTCTGATTCTGAAAAAAGACAGTCATTTACTAGATGTGTGAATCCTTGGCAAGTTATTTCACCTAGTGAACTTACAATTTCATCTTTTAAAAAAAGGATAATATCATCATCTTGCCTATAGAGTTTTTGTAAGAATTAAATGAAAGAATAAAACACTTAGCAGAATATATGAAATAAACTAAACATCCGAATGTTACCATTTATTAGAAGGTTGTAAGCCAACCAGCCTGGTATTCAGAATTCTTAAATTCTACCTTGAGTCTTGACTAACTAAGTTTTCAAGTTGATTGACTTGCTGTATTTGTACTTTATGTCTTTATTTTGAATGTATAGCCCAGTCAGTGGTCTTCATTTAATTTACTTCAGATAAATATACAGGTGACCAATTTTCAGAATGTTAGCATGTTTCCATAGGTTACTTAAAATGTTAGTATTATATTGAAGATATGGAGCCTGACAGGAGTGTCACAATTTTGCTTCTACTTTATGAAGTTGCTGATAGTATCAGGTTGGGGCCTGTAATACATATTGCCCATATGAATCTTTTTGCATCCTAAACATACTTTGGAAAGTGAACCAAAATTAAAGGCAAGCAAAAAAGAAAAAACCTAGTTTTTCCTTTCTTACATTTAGCTATAGCTTCAGAAAAAGGAATTGGAAAAAGCTGGGCAATTAAGTGTTTTTGTGTGTGCATATGTATTTACTATCTTTGTTATTTTTGCTTCCATACATATATATATATATTAAATTTAGTGATTCCGCAATTCTAACGTGCATTTTGTATCTGTACAGTTAAGGAATAGAATTTATGGCTTATTGCCCATTTGAAAATTATTGAAGAGAAGCCAGCTGTGATACCCTTGTTAGAAAATAAGAGTATTTTGACATTCTGTAATTTACGCCTTAAAAATTAGTAAGAAAATAACATTTTTATAACATTGTCTGTAATTTGTTAAAGTATTCCTGAAAAATGATAATAAGGACTATATGACTTGCAAAAGATGTGGCATTTAACTAATAATGCCTATTAACATGTAAATATAGGATAAAATAAAATAATCCTTAACTCTGTAATGGAATGACCACTAAAGATGATTTTTTGTGCCAGTGGATCCAAAAATCTAAGTACTGTTATCACACTAAAATTGTCTTCAAAGTCTTGAATATGCATAATTTCCTGAATTTCATAACACTTGTGATTTTTATTTTTATAATGGGCTCTGATAGTTTAATGATTTATTTAAGTAAAATCTGTTGTAAATCTTACATGGTGATCCTTAAGTTTTTTTTTCTCAATGACTCACACTGTAGCATAGGTCACTAATTTAAAATTTTAGTGAGAGCTATCTCCTATAATTCTAGATACAGCCATATTTCAGGTACCGTAGGTGTTTTAGAAGGGACATCATAATTGCATATTTATATTGTGAATTCTACATATTCTCTTTAATATAGCATTCAGGGTGATTTTTTGTGTTTTTTTTTTTTGCAACCCTAATTTAAAAGCCAGCAAGCAAGACCAACATTCATTCTGCCAATTAAGATGAGTAGAAAAGAACTATCTGTTGCATTGTGAATGGATATTCATAAACTGGAATTTGAGGCATGTGTAAAAACCATACAGCCCGAAACTGAATTAAGTGGCTAAACGTGACAGTATGCTTTTCAACATTTAGATGATTATTTTGTAGGCATAAGATAGTAAATTATAT